GGTATTCATTGAAGGTCATCCAAGTGTACGCTCCAACTTCGACGCACTCCGACGATGAGGTTGAGGCTATGTATGAGGATATCTCCAGAGCCATACATAGTACAAAGACTCATTATAGCGTTATCATGGGGGACTTTAACGCAAAATTGGGCAAACGAAGCGGTGATGAGCTGAGAGTGGGGCAATTTGGTATCGGTGATCGGAACTTCCGAGGTCAAATGCTGGCCGACTTCATGGAGAAGGAGAACCTCTTTATGATGAACTCCTTCTTCAGGAAGCCGGAACACCGGAAATGGACGTGGATTAGTCCCGATGGTGCCACAAAAAACGAGATAGATTTCATCTTGTCAACGAGAAGACAGATTTTCAATGATGTCTCTGTGATCAATGCCGTCAAAATTGGAAGTGATCACCGGATTGTAAGAGGCACATTGAATCTGAATCTGAAACTCGAACGATCCCGACTGATGAAATCTACGCTCCGCCCTACACCTATACAGATCCAAAACCCCGAAAGCTTTCAGCTAGAATTGCAAAACCGTTTCGAAAGCCTTGGTGACTGCGTTGACGTGGACGATTACAACAACAGGTTCGTGGAAACTGTCCGTGCGGCTGGGTCTAAGCACTTCAAAACCCGCCGCGCAGAAAGAACCGGAAAAATATCTATCTCTACCCTCAAATTGATGGATGAAAGGCGAAGTATGGTCCTGCAGTCTCCGACTGACGCTTCTCAGTATCGGCAACTTAGCAGGCAGATCTCTAAGTCCTTGACTCGTGACTTACGCCACTTTAACACAAATTGTGCAAAGGAGGCTATTGAGAGAAACAAGGGCTCAAAAGTCTTTAACAGGGATCTGGCTGCCGGACAGAGCCAGCTGACGCGACTTAAGACGGATGACGGCAGGATCGTTTCGTCTAAACCCGAACTTTTGAGGGAAATTGAGAAGTTCTATGGACAGTTATACACGACAACACGGGCACCTGTTAACAACACGGCGAAAGACCCTAGAGCCAAATTAACCCGACACTATACCGAAGATATCCCGGACGTCAGCCTGTACGAGATTGGTATGGCTCTTAAACAACTTAAAAACAACAAGGCGCCGGGCGATGATGGAGTTACTGCTGAGCTTCTGAGGGCTGGAGGTAGACCTGTTCTACGAATCCTCCAGAAGCTATTCAACTCCGTCATCCTCGAGGGCAAAACGCCTCAAGCATGGCAAAGGGGTGTGGTGGTTCTGTTCTTCAAGAAGGGAGACAAATCGCTTCTGAAGAATTTCAGACCCGTAACACTGCTGAGCCATGTTTATAAGTTGTTTTCGAGAGTCATCACGAATCGTCTCGCGCGCAGGTTTGACGACTTCCAGCCTCCCGAACAAGCCGGGTTCCGAAAAGGCTTCAGTACCATAGACCACATTCATACGCTGCGGCAGGTAATTCAGAAGACCGAAGAATACAACCTGCCACTTTGCTTGGCGTTTGTGGACTATGAAAAAGCCTTTGATTCGATCGAGACGTGGGCTGTGCTACAGTCTCTCCAGCGGTGCCAAATTGACTATCGATATATCGAAGCGTTGAAATGTTTGTATGAAAACGCCACTATGTCAGTTCGCCTCCACGACCAGAATTCGAAGCCTATCCAACTGCAGCGAGGTGTCAGACAAGGCGATGTCATATCGCCAAGGCTGTTTACCGCTGCGTTGGAAGATGTCTTCAAGCTTATGGACTGGAGCGGGCTGGGCATCAACATTAACGGCGAGTACATCAATCACCTTCGATTTGCCGACGATATCGTGGTCATGGCTGAGACCCTGGAAGACCTTAGCAAAATGCTCGAAGACCTCAGTAGAGTCTCACAAGGAGTAGGTCTTAAAATGAACATGGACAAGACGAAAATTATGTCAAACGTCCATGTCGTACCTGCTCCCGTAAAAATCGGAGATTCTACACTCGAAATTGTCGATCACTACGTATACTTAGGGCAAACTATCCAGCTAGGTAGATCCAATTTCGAGAAAGAGGTCAATCGTCGAATCCAACTCGGATGGGCAGCGTTCGGGAAGCTCCGATGATATATCTTTTCGTCCAAATTTCCGCAGTGTCTCAAGACGAAGGTTTACGACCAATGTGTGTTGCCAGTGATGACTTACGGAACAGAGACGTGGTCGCTAACTATGGGCCCCATCAACAAGCTCAGAGTCACTCAGAGGGCAATGGAGAGGGCTATGCTCGGAGTTTCTCTGCGTGATCGAATCAGAAATGAGGAGATCCGCAGAAGAACCAGAGTGACCGACATAGCCCGAAGAATTGCGACTTTGAAGTGGCAATGGGCAGGGCACATAGCTCGTAGGACAGATGGCCGTTGGGGCAGTAAAGTCCTCGAGTGGCGACCACGGACCGGAAGACGCAGCGTGGGAAGGCCTCCAGCAAGGTGGACCGACGATCTGGTCAAGATCGCGGGAAGGCATTGGATGCGAGCAGCGCAGGACCGATCGTCGTGGAGATCTTTGGGGGAGGCCTATGTCCAGCAGTGGACGTCTTCCGGGCTGCGATGATGATGATGATGATGAGTACTTCAGGTAGTAATATCATATTGTTAATGAAAAATCGTTAGTTGAATTTTTTTGTCAGAACATGGCAAAGGTTGAAGTGAACGGATATTGCCCGACTTGATCAAGACTTATTTTTATCTACATACATAAATATCTTGTTATAAATTAAATAGTTTTAAAAATAAACTTAAAATTGTTGCCATTATTTAAATTGTTTGTAGACCACCCCAAAGGATTAAACGAAACCAAAACAGAATCGAATCTTTTCCTTTGACTGCCACATTCTTGAAATAATAGATCAATCGTCACAAACTTACACATACCGAAATCGGAGTCAAATTGGTTCCAACGTATATCCAGAACCCCACAACGCTCCATAAAACTAATATGTCTTCGAAATCACATGCACGTGACACTTAAACTGTGTGTTGCCATACTCCATTAACAACACCCCGATTTTGTAACGATTTGGGGTAAAATTATACAATACATGCAATAGTTACCACTATAATAAGAACTGCCCTTCCTCTACTGTACTGTTAATTATAGAACCCCAAGGGAATATCAAAACGATTTACATAGATCAATTTAAAATGGCTGCGCCTGGACAATAGACGATGCGCACGTGGGAATTCAGTAGAATTTCAAAACTGATACATTTATGTAATATGCAGTACAGAATGGTGATCTGAAAGTTAATAGGTTAAACACAATTGTTATTGTAAAATGGACTTTATTACTTTGTATTTCGGTATTGCATTATTTCTAATTGGAATAGTATCTACGCATATGTTTATTGTCGAACTGTTTCGCACAATGTAGTCTTGTCTGCAGCACATTTAGAACTCCAACTGTTAGAAAGTATTTTAAAGAGAGGTCAATGTAATAGGGTTCAGGGTTTATTAAATACATTAACATCATACAAAATAACCGTAACGTACCGACTTATTAGTATGTTAACTAGTCAGACATACACTGTGACTGCATGCAGTAAAAGAGATAGTTACATTAAAGATTTATCAATATAGTATCTTTAGTTTTCTCTTGCTAGTATGTGGTTAAATGATTCAGTTTTTTAGACAATTTTCTCCGAATTAAATCCGAGAACTTAATAAATTAAGTAGGCATTTTTTCTGTGTACAAAGGCATAAAGTTTTTTATGTAATTGGAATAGTATACAAATGAAAGGTGGCCTGATTGAAGGTAGTAATCCTCGTCTATATATCTGAGAAGCACCACCGTCATAACGTCATCATGTGACGCCCATGGTATCATGGGGCAGTATAAAGCCGTTGCCATTCCAAGAGACTAAGTCATGATACGTATGCTACTGTAATTTCACTGCTTTATCGCACCCATTAACATTAACCCATCTTGCCATCTAAATTGCTTGGTGGCTGAAATATGCGAGAAAAAGTTTTCCAATATAAAATCTCATTTACTTAACTTAAAAAGTTATTCTCATAATATAAGTCATAGTAGGCCATGATAGTAAGTGACCTTTTGGGTAAGAACATAGGTACAATTAAGGAAATGAAATTAGTTCTATACATGTATTTCAAGTCGATGCTGACAGCGACAAAAATAATTTCCACATTCCCGTAGTAGTTGCCAAAAATCCATGCTTACTCACAAGTTTATATGCATACACTTGTTGGCTCTTAATAATACAACCATAAATACATGGTGGAGGTATTCTTTTGTTATAACTATATTGTATTACAAGCATTAAAATTTAAAATTACTGTCTGCTTACAATTTGTACTGAGTCTACCAATCATTCTATTATTTAAATATAGCGTCATATGGTCTAATATATTTATAACCGTGACGTCACAGCTGCGTTGAATTGATAACATAATCGATTTCATGCATCATATGGGCGTACGCACATATTCTAGGGAGATGTTTAATACTACTAGAGTTGTTAGGCCAGCGCTTCGTCGAGATACCTTGGATTTTTAGTGAGTAGGAGTATCACAGTACCCGGAAACAGATACTCCAGGAAAAAGATAGACAAAAAAAAGGCCAGCTAGTTATGCAAGTTTAGTCTTTAGTAAAGTAATCGGTAAGTAATGCACTCGTATATTCAATATAGATACTTTAACGATATCGATTAATCAAGTCAGTCAAATTATGTGTCTGACCGAAACCACAGACTATTGTTAATGTGACTAAACAACTTTCAATTTTATTCTATATCTTTGTTTTTTTTTTTTGTTGACAAATTCTATTTCCCACATATTTATGTCACTTCTAGAGCAAAGTAGAGATTATAAAATTAAGTTTAATTCACGAACTGCTTGGTCACGTGACCACGAAGTTTCACACGAATGCAGTAATTATCACACAACTGAAATAATTATAAAAAAAATATTTCAATCATCATTCCCAATAATATTCTTAATTTTTGTGTATATTAATAATAAGGTATACTTTAAGGCTTACCATCAAAACATGCGTATTTTATGTAAACAACACCAGGCGGCCAGCTTACAGCTGGAGCATAGTCTTGAGCCAACACAAAACTGCAATGATTCACCCCCGCACATCTGAAACCAATTGAGAAAATTATTTCTTAGAATCCAAACCAATTACAAAATTATTTCATAAATTGGATAAATGAATAGGAATAATATATAGAATACTAGCTGTTCCCGCGGTTTCACCAGCGTAAAATTTCAATAAAATACAGCCTATTATACAGGTTATTACGATGCATAAGCTATATTACTGTAAAGTTTCATCAAAATCCGTTCTGTAGTTTTTGCGTGAAAGAGTAACAAACATCCAAACATACATACAAACTTTCGCGTTTATAAGCTTAATAAGATAAGATTACTAGCTACTACGATGTGTTAATGTATGTGTGTATAAAAAGGAGTATTATACATACTACGCATATTTGACGAGCCGCAATCAAGTATCTCTGTATATCCCAACGGTTGACTGGGAAAGAATGCTAGGTTATATCCCTTTGTACCATATTTTATTGGTTAATAAAGCAAATAAATATATTATGTACACCAGTACAGTATATTAAAAAAGCTACAACAGAATAATAGTATAGAATTTATCTCTTTTTCCCTCGGAGACGATAACGTGTCTTTCGTTACAGCGTGCGTTCGGACAGCTTTCTAAATGCTACTATTACGATAAAAAGGATTATTGCCACAAACAATTCTATAATATTAATTTCGTGTAATGAAGCTCTATAAAATATACATCACATAGCTCTTAAACTTTGACAGTAGAAAACTATTAAAACATTTCAATAAACCCATCTCATCACACGGCAGTAAAACTTTTATATCATACACAAAAATAACATTTGGATATGGCCGCTACTGCATTTGGACTACTTTAAAATTTCAATTGAATTACATATATATATCATGTATGTAACGTATGCAATGTAATGTAGACAAATACATATATAATATGAATAATACGTGTAAATGGAATGTGATTTTATTAATTACTAGCTGTTCCCGCGACTGTCTGCGTGTTTATTAACATTATTTTTCTAAAACTGCTACCTACTGGCTACCTGCCAATAAAAGTCCCGTCAAAATCGGTCCAGCCATTTCAGAGGTTACCCGGAACAAACAGATAGACAGACAGAGAGACAAAAATTGAACAAAATGTTATTTTAGTGTATGTAATTTATATTCATATGCATGCAGTAAAAAACGGTTATTTCAATATTACAAACAGACACAACAATTTTATTTATATGTATAGATAAAAATAAAGGATTAAATTTGTGATAAAAAAATTACCTGTGAACAGATTTATATAACATAGGGCCAAAGAACCTATCTTCTATCTCTGTATCTTTTATATATTATATTATTTTCTTGGGGAAAGAAAAAACGTACTATTTTAAAATATATGTATCTAATATTTATACTATACGTATGTAACTAATATCTATATATGATAGTATGCATGATTTTACTCTTGCATATAGTCTTGTTCGATTCGAATAAAATTTTATACACAGTTAAATAAACATACGTAATGTATTATCTATAATCTGTGGTTAAAGCAAACGTATACTGTAATAGTTGTGGGAGGAAGGGATTGTTAGTAATGGGATACTCCCTTGTTAGCAGTTTTATCCAAATTCCTTGTATGAATTTGGATAAAAATGCTATAATAATTCAAATTCAAATTCAAGTTCAAATTCAAAATATCTTTATACATGTAGGTCTATTACAGACTCTTATGATATGTCAAATATGCCGTCAGTAAGTTTGTAGTCGTAATTTTGTATTATTTAACAGTGTGTGTGATTTTCATAATCTGATAACATATTAAAACTACAAAACATCATAATGTGTACACGAAATACCTAATTCACTAGAATCAAAATAGCAGCTGCAATAAGGTCGTTCCATTTTTATGTAAATTTCGATCTAATCTTTTGTTTTACAAAATTGTATTAGTGTTAAAAACACAATAAACTTTATTGTACAAAACAGAAAAAAATTCTACGGACATTTGCACAATATGTATATAACAAATAAAAAGAAACTGACACGTTTTACATTTGTAATAATTTGTTTTATTATACCTAACCGATAGAAATCCTAATTTCCCACGAATGTGGAAACATATACATAAATTTCGAACGAAAGTGCGTGTTTACATAGGAATCCTAATTTTCTACGAATGTTGAAACATATACATAAATTTAGAACGAAAGAACGTATTTACTAAATGACTTGACGATCGTTTAAGCCGTTAAGGCGCCAAGAAGTAAAGAAAAACTATAAAAATTATTATAAAACTGTTACAAATAAATAGATACAATATTTTTTGTAAATACATACATAATATACATAGAAAACACCGATACCCTTACAACTAATCATACTTATGAATACAAATGTTTGTACCGTGCGAGGAATAGAACCCTCAAACATTGCAATTAAGGCAGTACGCGAAACTGCTAGACCACCGAGGTTGCCAAACAAAAGAAAAGTTTAACAGATAAACTGATTTTCACATGTACCACCGTATTAGGAAGGAACTCGTAGAAATGCAGTAAAAAAGGCTCTCAAAAACGATTAACCTTCTTAATACAGTCGGGTAAAATGTAACAAACTGCTAATAAAACTACAATGAAACAGTTGCATGTTATAAAAACGCATTCACTGCCCATTTCTCGTTCAGTTAAACAGAGTCACGAATAGTAGTTTTATTACAATGACACGAATGAAAACTTGAAATTCACTTTAATTGAAGAATTTATTTCGTATATTCAACGTAACTACTCATTACATCGTGTTATGCTTTAGATGTATAGAATTAATTTAAAAAGGTGTTAGAATAAAAAGACGATGCAATTGTTTTTTAAGTAACTGGAAACAAGTTCATGATACCATGACCTTTGTTCCAACAATTGCCTTCCGTGGCAGCCCTTACGCGTAATTCCGCAGGATGAACAATGTCATGTCATGATGACATAATATTTTGCATTTGCATGGCATTTATAGAGTATTTATAATTATTATAATTTATCGGCCTGTCTTTGTTCTAGCGGTTTAGTACACCCGTTTACTTACGTTGGTTGCGGATCGATTCCTCGCACCATGCAAACATTTGTTTACTTCTAGTAGTAACACTTTTAGTCTGTGTGTTCTCTACGTATATTATATATGTATTTATATATAATATACGTACTAAGTATTCATAATAATAATAATACTAATAATCTCAGGGCAATTCACACAGCGCCATCTAGTCCCAAGTTAAGCTAGCTAAAGCTTGTGTTACGGGTACTAGATAACTGATACAAGTACATAGATTTTTATTGCGTAAATATATACATATTATATATAGAAAACACCCAGACCGATACAAACAATCATACTCATGAATACAAATGTTTGTTTGTGCCGTGCGAGGAATCTAACACGCGACCATCGGACGTAAAGCGGTGTACTAGACCGCTAGACCACCGAGGTCCTCAAGTAGTCGTCGTCATTCATATCAATTGTCTATTACTCATAACACAATCTCTGTTTAGCTTGAGACTAGATGGCGCTGTGTGAATTATCCTGGGTTATTATTAATAAAATGTTCATGTAATATTTCTTGTTAGCAACGTGCGCTGTGATTAAATCTAATCTTCATGATGGGTGAAATAACTGCGTTCGTGGTAAATTATTACGATGATGTTGTACAAAATTCTAATTTATTTCGAAACATTTTCCCTTACTTGATATTGATTCTACGGTAATATTATTATCTAAAATTATGTTGAAGTACTCATGCACCGCATTCGAATTACATGTTAGGGGCAGATAACATCAGGTAATTTCCACTCTACCTTACTGCAGTGAATAAGGTTAGTATCACACTATTAGAGGTAGCGTTTTAGTTCCGTCAAAAACAGTTTGTAAAATATTTTTAAAGGTTCAAATTCATCTGTTTTCTTTAGTAAAAAGTAGCCTATATAGATTTGTTTTAATTGATTTAAGATCCGATATAATATCCGTTCCGATATAAAAACCGATCAGCCGTAAAAAGAAAACGAACTGACAGACAGATACACTTTCGCATTGATATCTGTAGATAATTTTAGTTTATATATTTAATTTGATTTCAGATACTAGACTTATTTTAAATATATTAATATTTCTGTAACGTTTAGTATCTTATTGAAAATTATTACTGCAATGTAATGATATATGTACAACAAATCACTACTACAAATAGACAAGACATTCCCCATAGGGGAAGAGAAAGGAGCCTTACAGTATTGTCATACACCACAGTTTTAGTCCAAATTTTCTTTTATTTTGTCCATACTTTTTCCCCTCATGCCTCTTACGATATTGTGGGGGTGGAAAATGTGGCGAGACATTGAATAGTTATTCAGCCACTTCAAACGTTTATGGACAGGACTTATTTACTTTATCACAGGATAATTTTAAATACACTTATTTATTCGTTTCATTTTATTTCACTTATTTGGTTTAAATTTCTTCTTACAATTTATTCAAGTATTTTTATGACCATCTTATCTATGGTAATAGAAATAAATGTTAACTTACATTTAAAATATTATGTATAATATATATCTCAAAGTTAAATTAGGAGATTCAAAAATACACAGCTTATAGAAAATTTTCATTAACACCTATGTAATAATTAATGAAAATTTAAAATATTATGACCAATCCCCAGGCCATGCCTTAGGCGGTACGCAGGGTTGGCTTTAATTAAATAACTAAATAGGTCCTAAGACCAAATGATACTAAAACTAATTTTCTGGTCATATGTCCACACTCGCTATATCTTATGCTAATAAACCACAACCTTATCGTTGAACAAATACTAGACCACTAAAGTGTGAGGAAGTGACTTGCTCGTATTTCATAGTCGTCGACGTTAGTGATTATTGCAGTCATTAATAAAATGTACGTAATCTGTAGTATTCTAATCTTTAAACTATCAAATTAATTACACAAATGAAAGCATCCTGTAGTTTCATGTCATCACGAGACAAACATATACGGAGATACATACTAGATTTTTT